CTTTTTTAAACAAACCAACAAACAAACAAACACAAAACCATAGTGTGAACTCACTATTCACATAAGTATTCTTATTCCCAGTCCAAGTTCTCTTTTTTTTTCTCTTTCCTCTCTTTCCCCCTCTCTCTCTCTGTTTATCCATTATTGATTGCGAGTACTCACATGTGTCCAATGAACCCCATTCTCCTTCATTCAGTAACGTTGTATTTACAACAGCGTATTCCACTCGCTTTTCTCTGTGCCTCTCCAGAGACGCGTTTCGCAGCGGAACAGCGACTTCTCTTCACGGAACTAAACAGTGAAAATATGGACATTGAGAACTCTGGTGTAGTCGTTGGGGATGCAGTTGTTTACATAGTAAATAACACACAGAGACTACATCGATATATTAAACTACGACACTACACAACAAGAGAAGAAAAAACACTTCAATGTATGGCTTGGTGGTTAAGCCGACCAATTGGGGAAGAAGAACAACTTTTACCTCTCTCTGTATTAATTGAATGCCCCGTTCAGAAAGGTAAAAATGCTTTGGATGTACTTTTTTCTCTCCCTGGTCTTGTTGAGGTACATTTCTCACAATGTGATAATATGACAAATAGTAATGCTCTTATTAGTCTACCGTCACCCCGTATTCCTGATCTCTCAAGTAATGCAATGATTGAAAATGGATACTTGCAGTTTTCTCATTATCATGCACTCTGCGATCTTAGTCTGGCACAATGTCGTGGCTTTACACGTCTCTGTGGACTTCCCACCGCCTCATCTCTTCACACCATTGATCTCTCCTTTACAAATGTGAATGATGATGGTATATTACTATTGGCGGAATCAAAGAGTTTGCGGAATGTGCGGTTGATGGGATGTGTGGAAATTACGAATGTAAATGCCATGGCCCGCATGATGACATTAGAGCGACTGGACCTCACATCTTGTGGGGAACTCACAAATGATGGTATTGCCGGACTTGGGAAGAGTAACAGTTTACGGGAAGTAATTCTTCGCTATTGCAAAGGTATCACAGATGTTAATTGCGTAACGGAAGCTCCATCTCTATTACATCTCTGTGTGGCTCGTAGTAGTTTAACACAGAGTGGAATAGCATCTATTGGTAGTAACAACAACAATGGAAAGAGTTTACAACATCTTGATATGACTGGCTGCCGGGGAGTAAAATGTGTGGGTCATTTAGCCTGTGCAGTTTCACTATGTTTATTAGATGTATCATGGGCAAATGTAAAGCGTGATGGTCTTTTGGGTTTAATAGACTCACAATGTTTAGAAGTACTGCGAATAGCAGGAAATCCATTACGTAGTATTTCCCCATTACGCCATATGCAGTTATTGTTGGATGTGGATATCAGCGATACGAATATAGGTGATGATGATATTATTGTACTCGCTACAATGAAAGCATTGCGGCATATTACTATACGGCATTGTCGACATGTTACTTCCATCAACGCCCTTGCAGTACTTCCTGCACTTGAGAGTATAGATGTAACATCATCTGCGATAGTGAATGCTGGCATTACTTCGTTAAATACAGCATTCTCTCTTACGGAACTGCATCTTTCCCACTGCAAAGGTATCTCTATTGTGAGTACACTAGCAGAGTGTGAAAGACTAAAGATACTTCACTTGGATGGTACACAAATAACAGATGAGAGCATCGCACACCTTGCAGGCAGCAGAAGTCTAACAGAGATTGATTTTAGTCACTGTTCACAGTTAAGTAATATCAACACATTGGCCACTATCTCCACACTGAGGATGGTGGATGTATCCTTTACAGGCGTCACAAGTGATGGCTGCAGTGCACTACTAAGGAATTCTACCATTCATATACGTGGTGTGTTGGGATTGTATACTGAAGGAACACCTGCAAACAAAAAACGCAGAATAACATAATTATATGTATTCAATTTTTCTTCTTTAATATTATATACTTGGAATTTCAATATCTATACCCAATTGCCCCTCTCCCTTTGATTAGTAATGCCCTCCAACAGCAGTATTAATTATAAGTAAATGTAATTCTTATTTCAAATACTTTCATCAACAGTATTGTAACAACATATTGATATGATGCTATTCTGTAAATATATACAGTTACTATGTTTGTCTTAAATATACGAATTAATCCTTAATTTTTTATTTTACGCATATCAGCTGTTGTTCGTCTTGTGTGCTCTTATTTATGTTATCATGCTTTACTATGATATTATGTTGTGAAGAAATTGAATCGAAAATATAATCTGACAAATTTTAAGGAAACCATGATATTTCTGAAAGTTATGTCATTTTAATGCTTTTATTTGTTTTCTTTTTACCATAACATCATCACCACAAAGAACACAGCTACACAATCACTATGCGCACAACTCTTCTATTAACCTTGCTACTGATACTCTCCTGCATCTGTACATGTGCAGCAGCAGAGAGGATGCCACTACCGGTGCCACGTGTGGGTGGATACGCTACAGAGGCGAGGGGAACGGGACCACGAGGTAATCCTGCGAAAAGAGATGGAGGAAAAGAAATTGACAAACCTAATCATCGTGACTATTTGGGTAAAGGTGAATTCACCACCACCACACCATCCCTCAGTATGAGTGAGTCCATGAGTGTCTCTGCCACTCTTCCTCTCTCTGACACCACTACTGTTGCCCCAGCACCAGATCAACAACAACAAGAAGCATCAGCAGGAGAGGGACGGCCCGCCACTTCTGAGGAGTCGACTACGACGAGCACCGCAGCACCGAAGAAGAAGAAGAAGGACGGCGGCCGCGGCCCTGAGTGGCTGCACGGCCCGCTGGTGCTGCTCGCCGCCCTCACCGCC